ATATAGGGAAACAATCGTGAATATGTAGTTGTTGGTAGCGACCACGTAAAACACCTTGTTAAGTCTCACGAAAGTTGATGAAATAATATATTTAGATAAAAAGATGATATTATTTCAATTAATTAGAAATTATATATTTAAATATAAAAAATGATGATATTATTTCTCTAACTAATATAAAAAAATCATTTTCGTAAAAGTCTCTAAAAGGGCGTCATAGGCTCATAGCTAATATCAAGAAGCTATACAAGTAATAACAAAGTGCAATTGTCCCATCAAAGGGAAATGTCTTGATGCTGATTTGCTCATGATGTTGTAAAAAAAACTATTAACTGAAATAAGATCTTATCAAAATTATTTTATAATTTAGTGTGAATGTTGTAGTGCGTCAAAAATTATTGGAAACAAAATATTCTTTTAAAATGTTGTCAGAAATATATCGCGTCTTCAGGCGACTTGGACTAAGTCGCGCTCCAATCACCTCTAACTTACAGATTACAAATTGCAATATGCATATTACAATTTCAAGCAATTTCAGGGGGAGATACACTGAGATATTGGAGTTTCTCCGATTTTATTCAAAGTTGTATGGTAGTTTTCGCGTCACACGTCAAAGTCATATTATATTCTCGACGACTCTTTAATTACTGTAATATACATATTATCTTGAGAAATAATTTTAATGATCTCTAATTTAAACAATAATTTTTTCGAGAAACATATAGCATCAAATCAGCCTATCCAAAGTATAATAAGGTCATATGCTCCGGTTCCTATCATGTTTCTTGTTTAGAGAAAACAACAACGGGCAAAAGTAAACCTTCATTGGCATCGTCTCCTTCCTTTTTCGGGTTTCAGCCCCGACAGAATCCCACGTACCAATCCCATCAATTGGGCACTCATTCCCACTTTTTAGTCGGCAAGCAAAGCAACAATCTAATCAGAATCATTTGACAAAAATACTAGATTTTAGAGTAAAAAACGTACCACTTGTCATGATAAAAATGGTCATAAAATTGGCCCCCTCTGGGGTGTTCCCTGATGTGGGTCAACGAGTAGAGCCAAAATACTTACCACAAATTTTGCTGGGTGAGAGAGAGGTAAATATTGAATTGAATCTAGTTAAATTCAATTTTTTAAATTTTTTAAATTAATTAATCTTATTTTATAAATTAAATTTTATTTAAAAAAATTAAGTGGTTTGAGTTTTTATATAAACTAAATTTTATTTTATTTTGATTTAAATAGTTTCTATATATATATATATATATATATATATATCATATGTGATATACATGTTATTAATATATAGAGTTAAGTGACTCGATTATAACTTTAAAACTAATTCATTAGAGCTCGGTTCATGATACTAAACAAATTTCTTTTAAAATCAAGTAATTATCTTTATAAATAAATACTAGAGATTATGGTAAGAAGTCAAACTGTTTAAAATTTTTACCTAAATTTTAGGACGTTACATCTTTCATCTGTGAATATAAACAATATTAAATTAAATTAAATTTCGTTTCTTTCGCATATTTTTTTTACTTTGATTCCTTTTTTTTATTATTTTGTGTGCTTTCAAATTCCTAGCACCTAGAGCTAAAGCTACTAAATTAAAGCAAGAACGAAAGCAAAGAAGCTAGAAATCGGGCATGTTGTTATTATAGATTCGTACTCTAGTTAAGAAGGAACCGAATGCAAAATATATTATAACATGAAGAATTTGTACCTACGTAGTATTTGGGGCATCTTCGACCACTGTTTTACCCTTAAAAATCCACATCCAACATTTTCAGTCTCATTTTAGCACAAAATAATTAGAGGCATTCAATCAGTCGATTTGGTTAACCGATTGAATCGAATTATTCAAAATTCATTCATTGATTTTTTCTTTAATTGTTAATAGATTCTAAACAAAATTCGATTAATGCGATCAATTAACCTCTTAACTGAAATTTATTATATTTTCTCTATCACATATCAAGATGTATTCCCCATAACACAAAATTATCCACTTGCCGTAAAAGAAGATGCGATGAACCGTCAAGATATGATATTATTAACCGAAATACGAGAAAACAATCAAGAATAGGATGTGGGATCGTCAACCGATATAAAAAGAAACACTGAAAATAGAATTTGAGATTATCAACTGATATGCAAAGAACTATTAGGTTTCTTAGATCTCAAATTTGGCCAACCCTAATACAACATGCGTTATGTAATAAATATAAGTATAACATGCTCTTCAAACAAAATCTAGTTGATAAACAAATTGGAATAGTTCCAATTAGTGTAGACGACAATTAGAACTGAATCACATCAGAATTATTGATTTCATTGTCCCCATTTTTATTTTTACTTTCACCAAAATTTTTAGAAAATCAATTCATTTTTCTTAATATATTTTGATTGATCGATAAAGCTAACGAAAATAAATTATTTTTCGAAATCAACATCAGCGATAGTGACACCCAATCGAACAGTGTTGATTCACCCCGAGCACTGTTTGTTTGACACTGTCTATTTGATTTATTGTCCACTGATTGTTAGTAGAAAAAACATTGAGAGGCAATAAGTTTTGTGAGAAACCGATGATAATAATGTATCCGACATAAATTCACACGGCAGTGGGGGCCTATTCGCTCTACAGTGGATGATAGAAACCTTTTAGTTTCTTCCAAACTGTCATTTTTCCCTTGAAATTGTCACAACAGATCGCATTCGGTTCGATGTTGGCTGCGGAAAACAGGATGGATACATGGAGCTTTACTTGACTCGCTACGTAGCAGTGACGGATGTAAAAGTTTAAAAAAATAACCCTATGTACGCTCATGAAGATCAAAGACCGTCCCCGACACGTCTCCAGAAATCTCTTCGACATACCCAACTAATTATGGTCAAACTTTTCTAACATGGAACCAAGTCCATCCCTGAGCTTGGACAAGAGAGACACTTGCCCAGGACCAGGAGACCCCTTTTGCTCAAGATCTAAAATTATAAATTCACATATAATTAAAAATAAGAAATTATCTATTTTGTCACTCATCTATAATTTTATTTTTATTTTGGTTATTCAATTATTATTTTTTTCAAAATTATACATAACGTCATATTTTATTTTTACTCACCATTAAAAAATTAACGGCGACGTTGATGTGGCATTTTTACATTATTATTTTTCCACTTTCCACTTAATTATCCTTTATTATTATTTTTTGACAAGATGGAGAATGTTAAAATCTAACATGTACCCTCTTAAAAGAGGATCATGGTTGTTTTATATAAGTAGTTAGGTGTTTAATAAAATTTGATGTATTTATTATATAGTTTATTAAACGTAATGAAAAAAATAATTTACAAGCAAATTTATTTAATTTTATTTGTTCTTATGATTTATATTTTTTTTATATTTATTATTAGGGACCTAGTTTCTATGTTCGTCCCGGGCCATTAAATTCTTAGAGAGGGGCTTGTATGGAACATCCCTGATACATATCCAAATTGTATCCGTCTTGTATTCCTCTCCGATACGTCAAGTACTTGAAACCGCATTGGTTGCCTTATCCGTGCAACAAAAGTGATAACCTTCAAATTTGATTTAAAACCGAGAACCATAAAACTGCAACAACATACACATTATAGTATAGACAACTATGCAATAACACTGTCCACTAGCCAGCACAGAAGAGCAAAGCAGTATTAAGACTTTAGTTTTTGGTTCACACTTAGGCAATACGGCTGAAGCAAGAGCTTTCAAAGCACACCATGAAAATCTACCAATAGACAAGCCTTACAAAATTAGAGGCTATACCGGAACATAATTCATATAAAGTTTCTGCAGTCGTTAATTATATATTTTTGCAAAGATCCACCACAAGGTGAGGGCATCAGGATTTGATAATCAACATCTACCATTATCTGTACTCATTTATGAAATACGGCTTTGTACCTGTTTCTCAGTGGAGAAGTTGTTACTTTTTTAACTGCGGGTGACCAAAATGAAACCAAAACGTAATGTTATGTATACTTTTGAAAAAGTAATAGTTAGGTGATCAAAACGGAATAAAAGTAACAATAGGGTTCTAAACTTGTAGTTTACCCTAAAAACTATTCACCTCACCCTTTTTCTCCATGTCATTAATCCACTCACAATTAACTTCCAAGTAAACATCATTTAGTCTTGATTATTGCACAATGGTCATTCAGTTAGAAACCACAGTAGAAGACCAACAACGGAGCACCGTGCAGATGCAGACATGTTCATTTAGCCAAAATAGTCCCCCAGCTCCTACAAGCAAGGATGGACCGAGGGGAGCGAGTGGGGTGGTCGTCCTCGTCCCCCTTAAAAACTTTAATTTTTTATATATTTTAAATATTTTCTTTATATTTTTGATCAAAACTCTGTTTTCACTCTTAAAATTTTATAAGGTCACATTCTCTTAAAATTTTATAAATTTATTTCCATAATATAAATTGATGCATCCATCCGTGTCTGTCTACATGTGCAAGCAGATTTCTATGTTTGAAAGGGTGGTAACATGCAACATGCCACACTTAATATTATTGATCCTCAAACTGTTGCATCTGTTAAATTGCATCTTAACTTACACATTTAATGTGTGGTTCATATATGCCACCACAACAATGATCTACTGCACTCTGACAGACCGGGCAGAAAAATGCAGACGATGAAAAGGACCCACCTTTTATTTGAGTACATGATGTGATCTTGATAATTAATAGGCTACCCAAATCCTGTAACGTTCTATGTGTTTCTCTCCAGCCATCTTTATCTCACATGTTTAGTAGGCTTGCATGACGTAATAAATAGCCCATTATCAAGTGGTTAATTACATCATTATTCCATCCACAATCCACACAACAGGTGATCAAAGTTGAGATCTCCTGAGAGCAGAGATGAAGGTACACACTTTTCGGTTATGCCGATGAAGATGATCTTCTTCCTCCTATGGACTGTAACTTTTCTCTTTTTGATGCAGTTACTAGGTTGGATTCACCGTAAGTATGGCCAATATACCAGTCAACCACTCAGGGATTTCACCATTGGTAAGTGTCATCCTGCCATATAGCTTGTTTTGCAAACTGCAATGGCAATGCATGTTTAGATTGCATGCACATGAACATTATTTCTTCATGCTGCTCAGTATAATAACTGGAATATAGGTTTAAGATGAACCAAAAATGAATTACATGATGGTACATACATAGAGATTAAATAACTATAAAGTTTTTCGTTCAAGGCTTTCTTGTTATTGTCATACAGGGAAGCCATCTTTTGATGACCAACAATTCTACTCAAAGCCAAACTATGGTACCAAGTCATTTAGGCCATCCCAGAGTGACCGTCTTCGAAAGTCATTTGGTGGCGTAGAAGCAGCACAAGTAGACGAAGAAGACAATGAAGAGGATACATCATCAGAAATGTCTGAGCTATTTCATGGCTTTTTTGCCACTGGCACCCTTGGTTCGGACCCTAACATTCCCGATCCCTCGACACCAACATTTGCTATCTCTGTAGTGAATATAACCGAAAAAGAAACTAAAATCACAGAGAATGAACTGAGGCTCATTAATGATGAGTTGGAGAAGTTTCTTGGAGAAGAAGCTAAAGAAGAAGGCTGCAACGATTCATCGGCAAGGAACAGTTTTGTCAGCACTGGAAGAAGCAGTCATTGCAGCACAATTAGTGGAAGGCCAACTGAAGTTCCAGATACCAATGGGGATGATACTCAAGTTTGTCCACTCCGAGGCTATCTTTCTGGCTCAGCAATTGAATTGTCAGAAACAACTACAGTGGCCAAGAAGGAACACGGGACCTCACTTGGGGAGCTGTTTCATAGGACTAAAATAGCAGAGGAGAAGTTATGGAGTAATTATGACGACGAAAAGCGTACGGCAAATGAAGGAGATAAATCTACAGTGCACATTATGAAGAAAAAATTGCTCAATGCTTTTAGGAGCTCTACTGCAGCTGCCGGAGGAAATATAGATTCTGCTTCTGCAGAAACAAAACTGCACAAGGTACGTAAAAAACACACAACCATACCAAACTTTTTACAATTTCTGGTAAGATAACTGAGCCAAATAGAATGGTCTGCTTATCAAATATCAAGAATGTGTTAACACTTAACAATAATTCTTAATCTTTGCTTAATTCGCTGAAATGCGGTGTGTAGATCTTGCACATGTTCAACAAAAAGGTTGAACCTGAAAGCTCAACAACCACATATAAGCACGGCAAGCCCCAGAAGAATGAGAACAAGGAAGTCATCATGTATGATGTAGGTCATATGCTTGCAGACGATGACATCATGATATATCCTCAGAGAGCCCTTTCAAAGAACATATGTCGCTACAAGAGCCTATCTAAACCACCTCAGTTCACACTTAGCTGCAACCATTCGAACGGGAACCGGGAGTGCTGGGTCAAAACAGATGCAGACTGTAAGTATAGTCTACTACCAGACATTTGACATTTTCAATATCCATTAAGAAACCCTGTCATGAGCTGCCAAGAATTCATTGATGAAATGTCCTAATCCAGTAAAATACTGTGTTTGTAGACCTCGTGTTGGAGCTCTGAAAGAAGAAACTTTCAAGTGTTTGGTTTTCCAAGTATCATCCCTGGTTAGTATGAATGATAGTTGATGGTATTAAACTGGTATTTGAGAGGATGTTTTACAGAACAGATTGAAGTGAATAAAGGAGTCCAACCACCATGTAAATTACAAGGAATTGTTGTTTTACTACAAAAACATATCTGAATTAGTATTGGGTTTCAGTTCAGTTCTCCTAAACCATGATTTTAACAAAAGACAACCATAAAACTACAAACAAATATGAAGCAATTTGCTCTCGACTCATTTATAACATGTTCCACATGAAATACAAATTATAAGCTATGCAATAGCCAGAAACACAAATTATAAGCTATGCAATAGCGTCGCAGTTGTGGATGTTGCGGACTTTACGACGTGATCTATTTTCCAAAATAACTATGTTTTATGTTGTGGATGCAGTTTGTGGTGTCGCGGTGACCTTGAAAACGTTACGATGCGGCCGCAATTTAATACTATATTAACCTCCAAAAGAGAACGTCTAGGCAGAACTGAGTAACATCAGACTCCACCACGTCCCACTATTTATGGTAAAAGAAAGCATGCATCCCATCTGGTCTCAGGGCTTTCATAGATCCCTGATCAAATACTGCCCGTATGAATTTCCTCATAAGCAAAGTCAGCCAAAAGATTACCCATCATTTAAGAAGTAACTGTTAGAAATAATTGTTAAAAAAACCTATTACAAATAAACAAGTAATAATTAAAATAAGCGTAAATAATATTACTGTATAGAAGATATCGTAGTGGCCAAGGATGTAACCAGGATTAAATTGTGAGGGGTAAAATTATTTTATATCAAAAGAACAAGAATCTATTAAATATTTAAATTTGAAAACTAGAAGGGAAAAAACCTTATTTGGCTAATATTTAAACTAAAAATGACCTAAAATGCTATTATACCAAAAAATTTGGGAGAGACACCAACCCCTCCCGGCTCCTAAGTAGTTTCGTCCATGGTAGTCACGAAGGTAGCTCCAAAAAATATTGAAAAAATATTAAAATAAAATTTTAGTCACAATTGAGAAACTAAATAAGATTTTTTTGATTAATTTAGAATTTCATATCACCTCTTAATAATAGTTAAGGATCAATGCTTATAATTTTAAAAAAAATCTAAAGTTTAACACTTATTTTATAACTTTTGAAAGTTAAATGACTAAAAATATCATTTTACTATAATTCAAAGATCATTTGTAAATTTTACCCTATATTATATCCATACACATTGGTATTAGACGTTCGTTGTAGACTCATCTATATGTAAAATGATTATCTAATCTTTATCATCGATAATTTATACTAAATAATAAGTAAATTTATGTCTATTCATAATAGATGTTAAATAATAGATAATTTTGAATAATAGATATATTAAGGCTCTATCTGAATCGGTGTCATGAGTTAATCAAACATTAAATCAATTAAAAATATTAAAATATTTATTTTTCAAATAATAATAAATATTATTACAATGATTTTTTTTTAATTTTTAAACATTTATATAATTTTTAAATTAAAAACCCAAAGGTCAAACATATACATGTCTAGCAAAGATCTAAATATAAACTATTTATCACTCCACCTACAATCATTCATTAATTTTTTTTAAATAAAATTTATACAAATTATTTTTTTCTTCATTTAAATCTTGAATGTGACAAAATTTAATATTATTTATCTATTAACTGAGTTAGTTTCACGAGTTAACTGAGTCAAAATTAGTTAAAAATGTCATTTTCATATTTTTATATAATTTTTAAATAAAATAATTAAAAATTATTTATTTTATTTGAAGATTGAATATATGACTAGTTGATTTTTTTAATATATCTTATATAAATAATATCACTCTACCTATAATTATTTATTAAATTAATTTTACATAAAATATTATCTTCATTCATTATATATAAATTTAATATCAATAATTATGCATATTCAAAATATCCTAAACCTTTTAAAATCTTATAAATCAAAATTCCATGAATTTGGATGGGCTCTTCCACGGCCGGATGCATGCAGTAATCCCTTAAGGGGTGTTTGGTTCAAGGATTGTGGGATTCCTATAGGATGGGAATCCCACATTCCCATGTTTGGTTGGACGAGAATCTTATTCTCGGTAATGTTTTATTATCAATAGTAGATTTTTTAGGGTATATTACAGGGAATGTCATTACCTCCCTTCCCTTAGGTATCGTAACATTACCGGCGTTTTGGACTAAAATGCCCTTAAATTTTTTATTTTTTTTCAAAAATATCATTCTTCTGTCATTGAATAATAAAAATTCTACGAAGGTTAAATTACAAATTTATCCTTAAATTATTTTAGATTTACAAAAAAAAAATCTATAATTAAAATTTTATATGAAGTTCAGGGGTTAATTTTTTTTACCCTTTCATTAAACCTTTTTTATATTTTTAATTTTGTAAAAAAAATTATATAAATATTATGAATTTAATTTTTAAAGAAAATATATAAATATTTTACAATTTGTAATATTATACAAATATATAATAAGGACAATTTGGTCAAATATACATTTCAATAATCTTTTATTCCTTTAACCAAACCCGGTAATATTACATTCCTGTTAAACCAACCAAACACAAAATACAACATTCCCAGTAATCATATTCCCTGGTAATCTTTTATTCCCACTGGTAATCTTACATTCCGTGAACCAAACACACCCTAAGAGTGTGTTTGGTTGGGGAATGTGAGATTCCCATGGAAATAGAATCCACATTCCCCTGTTTGGTTGGCCGGGAATATCATTCCCGGTAATCTTACATTACCAATAGTAGACTTTTTGGAGTATATTACTGGGAATGTCAATACCTCCCTTTCCTTAGGTATTGTTGGATTACCGGCATTTTGGACTAAAATACCCTTAATTTTTTTTCTTTAAAAAATATCATTATTCTGTCATTGAATAATAAAAATTTTACGAAAGTTAAATTATAAATTTATCCTTAAATATTTTAGATTTACAAAAAAACAATCTATAATTAAAATTTTATATGAAGTTCAGGGGTAAAATAAAATTTTACCCTTTCATTAAACCTTTTTATATTTTCAATTTTGTAAAAAACATTATATAAATTTTATGAATTTAAATTTTTAAAGAAAATATATAAATATTTTACAACTTGTTAAAAAAACAAATATATAATAAGGACAATTTGGTCAAATATACATTCCAATAATCTTTTATTCCTTTAACCAAACACGGTAATCTTACATTTCTGCTAAGCCAACCAAACACAAAATACAACATTCCCTGGTGTAGACACCCATTTTTGTCTGAGTTTATATTATTATTATTATTATTATTATTATTATTATTATTATTATTATTAATTAGTATTATTACACTATTTTGCAGGCCCAAAACAAATACAATCCAGAAGCCCAACAGCCTACCAAGGCCCAAAACAAATATAATCCAGAAGCCCAACAGCCTACCAAGGCCCAATACAAGTAGATTTGACCCAGCAGTAGAATCCATCATCAAACTTGGGTACAACCCAGACCTACAACCCAAACCCATGAACCCGATCCAGTAACCTGAACCAGTTGTGAACCGAGTCACCCGAGCCATCGACGATCAGAGCCAACAACCTTCTAGCCGCCGTGTCGTAACCGTCTTTCGGTTGGGCCCTGCAATTGGGCTTCGACTTGAAAAATGTGGATTGGAGTCGTCACCGATCATTTTAAAACGAATTTAGGTGGGTCGGACACCATTTTACCTGATCTGCATTTTTACCAGAAATGTGTCGGGTTCGGGAGTCGGTTACGGTCAAAGAAGGATTAGCACCCTTGAACCGCCCTTCAATTAATTTTCCAGTTATCTTAGTTGCGAAAATTCAAAATTAAAATTAAAATTTAACAGACCCGATTCAAATTACTTACAATTGCTCCCAAATTCCCTTTCCCCTACGCCGGTTTCTGACTTAGATCCCGACGCCGTTCGAATTCCGATCGTTGTTTTGAAATCACCATCGTGTTGAGTTAGGAACAATCCCCTTAAATTAATTGAAGCGAAACGCTGCCAAACGTCGGGAATTTCAAGTCAAAGCATCGACGTTTTTTTTAGCTCTATCGCCGGGAAAATCTCAAATTCACTGCCGATCGTTGCTCCGTTTATGACACCTCCTGCACCATCGTGTTCCTTATGCCGTTTCGAGTCTGTCGATGTCATCCTCGGTCTCAGTCGACGGCGGCGCGTGAGGAGGTGGAGCAGTCAAAGATTCGGCCGAGTTGAAATCAAGCTCTCCGCGGTTCAAAAATTTGAACCGATCTTTGTAAGTATCTCGAAATTGCTCAAAATAATTTTTAGAAAATTTTCCGGGATTTTTACAGCCCCATAGGAGGTCTCACGTGCCACACGCGCCGCCGCAGGGAGAGTGGAAGCTGGAAAACCGGTTTAACCGGTCTGAACCGGTTTGACCGATCTGACCCGATCCGACCGTTGACCCGACCCGACTGTTGACCTCCTTTGACCAAAACTTAAAATGGCTTTGACCGACCATTAAACGACCGTTAATCTTTTCCGAGTATACCTATTCTGATAGTTTTCGACGTCCCGAATCCGTTTTCGAAGTCCGTTTTGTCAAATTCGAACCCAAAGGCCTCCAAATCGACGGTCAAAGTGGTTGACTTTGACTTTGACCAAGAATTTAAATTTTTTGAAAAGTCATACTTTATGTTTTTCGACGTCCTAATTCCGATTCCGCAATCCGTTTGACCAAATTTAAACTCGAAATCCTCCAAATTGATAATCAAACCCTGAAAATACTTATATACTTAAGAATTTTAGCTTTGAACAATTAAGTAAGATTTGGGGCTGATAATTATTATTATTTGAAGGTATAAGAGACTTTTCGGATCGTTCGACAGCTTGACCCAACTCTTCTAGATCAGTTAAACCACGTTCAAAAACTGTAGCAGAGCGTGGTGAAACCAGCAATCAGTAAATCTACTATTTGAACATATTATCGA